GTATGTTCAAATCTTTGTTGCAATGCTGCAATATTAGCTTTATCCTAATAAAATAAAAGCTATAGGCTGCATTCAGTAGATATTTGAGAGTGTATGAATGTGCCTGTGTTGGTCAAAAAAAATGTTTCAGGAAGAATGAAGTGTTATGAATGTGCGTTGGATGTTGAGTCTTGTCTGGTGCAGATGGACGTGGCAGTGTGAAGAGCTTGGCAGAGGCACAACAGTGAGTGGGACGAGACATGTGGCTCCAGGCTGCAGCATGTGCAGGCCACACTCACCAGACACCCGGCAAACCACGAACAACTCTGATACGTAACTCCCACTAAACGGAGGGACACGCTCCAGATGACGAAGCCGCTCTCACTCCTTTAAAAACACTACCAGCACAGTTTTAGTTGTGTTTGAAAGCAATACAATGAAGTGTTAATGAATTTACCAGCAGTGTAACATGGGCTGCACAAACACAAACACTAAAGAGCAAAGGTTAACAGGGTGAGTGATACACAGGAGTAAATAATAAAACCATCTCCACTTGTGTATCAAGTTATTTGTGTGTCTGTTCGTCTGTGAGCATGTGGACATGTGTTTCCACATGCGTGTGTGGGTGGTTGCTTGGATGTGGTTGCATGGAGGTGAGGTGAAGTGACACACCCCTGAGGAGGACAGGAGGAGGAACATGGTCTGATTTATTCAAGACACACCATTTGGGTTGCTAGGTTACAGGCCCAGGCTGGAACCGCAGTTTGTGTCTCTGAGGTAAAGAGAAAAAGAAAGGAGGCAGAGAGAGGCTAAAAACTGGGAATTCACATCTCTCTATCTCCCCTTTCTCTGCCACCATGCACACACACAGACACACACATGCTCGTGTCAGCTATGAAAACTTCCAGCCCTCCAGTTCTTGGGATGCCACACAGTGCTGCAGCATGCAATCCCTGCCAGCCTTGCTCTGGGATTCCTCTGCCAAACACACACAGACACAAAATTTACTTTAATCAGTACAGAAGGCAGGCCCATATTTAGTTTCAGACAGATATCGCCTTACCTCATTTCTTTCCTTTTCATCACAAACAAACAAGCATTCTTCTGCAATTCAGTGGCACATGAATCATACGCATGCATGCCCTCACATACAATGTGGCAGAGTGGAATGGGCACTCAGTGGCACTCCGAACGCTGCTTAGCGCAGCGGCCTCAGGATGCATGAGTAATGCACGAATCTGCCCAACTACAGAATCCTACACACATCCACACAAACACACACACATAAACCAACAAATAACCTAAAAAATAGTCCATTCTCCTTATAAGCCAAATGGCTCCTCCTAAGCAGCTCTTCTGTCACTTAACCTAAATCTCCTGAGTTAGATGAGGAGAAGGAATTAGTGAAAGATGATGAATGAATGAGCAGAAGCACAAGATTGCAAAAGGACATGGCAAAATATCTGAAATGCCATTTCCAGCCACAAGAGGAGGAAGGAGAATAGGGTGTCTGTCTCCATGATTTTCAAATTGCTGTTCCAAGTAATGATCTGTGCTCCACTGTTACTTATTACATTAGACAAAACTTTTCAAACATGTGAATGTCTACGTGTAAAATTAGATTGGATAATGCATCTGGAAGACTGGATCTTGTAGAAGGTCACATGATATGGTCATATTGTCATGGTATGATTGCAATGAAAACTGGCAAAGGATAACATTGAATAAATACAGTCATTAATTAATATAATTATGCATTATTATCTCTGACCACAATGGTGTGCAACTGGGTGACATTCAAAACAAGAAGACACAGATACAAGTGCATCCTGTGCAACTGCACAGTTATTGGTTTCATGACATTACACTGTCCGAAAATAAGACCATGCACAAAGCCAAAAACACATGTATGTTAAGAATGTTATGAAATTCTGTATTATGTTTATAAAGACTGAAAAATATATAAGGAGGCCCTTACCAAAAACTGTATTAAATGTCCCATTATTGTCAAGACATGCAGTAATAAAGCAGGCCTATTAGGCTATTATTGGTCTGGGATTGTTAGTGAGAGTAGTTTTTTTTTTTTATCAGAGTGCAACTGCAAAGGCATTGACGGATGCGCATGGTTTTCAATCTGGACATCCCACACTGAGACGGACATAAATAATTTAGTGCGAGATGATACTCCCAACACGCTGCTAACAAATGATGTGTCCAGAGCCTTTGATATTGGCAATAATTGTTCAACATAGGTTGTGTTAGTATACTAGTTGCCACCAGCGAGCACCCACGAGGTTATCGACAACACTGCAGGACCGTAGGACAGACTGTCACATTTGCGGACGATCCCAATATCCCCCATGTAACGAGACATGACTGCAAGGCAGAGCGCACATAAGTGGGCAGCGAGCAGCCTGTACGGTAAAAATCACGGGACTCAAACCAAATACGCGGCGGCTCATGTCGGGCCCGGGCTGGCAGAGGTCCCTCTACCTTCCGGGCCTTTTGCGTTTTCGGTCAGTTCCTCTCTCCCCGTGTTTTCCTGACGCAAGTATCCGGGAGGAGGGGAGTCGGGCAGGGCAAAGAAAAGTTACACAGCCACCCAGCCGACTCAGAAACTCCATGGAAATGGGACTGGGATCACCTCCGTGGGTATCCCGACGTAATGACTGTGGATTTACACGTTAGGACCCCCGAAACCATTATAACATGTCAATATGTTGGTTACACTTGGTGTCCTCATCGCTATGTATCACTTTTTATCTGCTACCGTGGTCACTTTAATTTCCACATTGCGATTCGGATCTCCAGAGTGATATTTGAAGAGTATCCAAGTGTCCACATTAGTTCCACATAGACGCGCACTTACGCAATATAACCCAGCCAAAAAAGACTCACCACAAATACCTTCGTTTGAACGAGCCGAAAAAAAATATCACCTGCAATGTCAGGTGATAGGACAACCGTGGTTATCGCTGCTTATCGTCTCAAGCGTTGTTCATTGCGGGATCAAAAAAAAAACGAGGAGTTAAGACAGGCTGAACACAAACAAACAAACAAAACAAAACAAAACAAAATAGCGCTGCCACTGACCTGCTAGTGTTTGTGCTGCAGGAGACTATTGTTCCACTTGTGTGTGGTAATCCAGGCGGCACGCTGGGATGAATCCACTGCGACAAGTTCCTCCAACTACTTTGCTGTAAAACACACCAGATTGCCTATTTTACCCGCCAGGTGAGGCTTATTCCTGTGTTGCACGGTGTGCCGCGGTGTCCCATCGCCGGAGCAAGCGCATCGTGGGCCTGTAATAACGCATTATTTGCCTTTACTTTCGCTCATAAACACAGCACCGTCCCGTCCCGGTGATGATCAGCCATATCGCTGCTGCTGCGTGGATCCCAAGTGGAAGCGGTGGCGTGATCCCGGAAAACACCGCAAGGGGTGTGTGTGTGTGTGTGTGTGTGTGTGTGAGAGAGAGAGAGAGAGAGAGAGAGAGAGAGAGAGAGAGAGAGAGAGATTGTGAATGTGTGTGTATCAGACTCTCTAACCCCCCACCCCCACCTCCAACCCCTCAAGACTTTCTCTTTGTAAAAAAAAAAAAAAAAAAAAGAGGGGTCAAATAGATTAATTTGGGGGGCAATGCCACCGGGGAAATTAGCCTTCATTATCCAAGACCCATTCCCATCTAAATATGCACCTCAGAGAAATTCCTTGTGAATAATGCATGAACTGAAAATTATGGAAATTCAGTAGCCTATCAACCACCAGTGCTTAGCTTACCAACATGAGTGAAAGTACACTTGCTTGCAGCGGTAAAATAAATGTTCCTGCAGTCCCAAAGTTGTGAGTTTTAAATTCATACTACCTCATATTCCTACTAATGCAGGAATTACTGGCCAGTGTAAAAAAACACGGGATGATTTAACTCAACTGGATTACATTTATTTACAGTATTAAATAGCCCAGACACATGTAGTAACAAGCATATTCTCCTTTTAATATAAAATGTCTACTACTTAGGTGATTTCTGTGGAAGACTGATGGAAAGTCTTCCACATAAAGTGCTTTAAATGTTTCCTTTTTCAAAAAAATAAATAAAATGAAAGTGAAAAAAACTTAATTCTTAGTTTTTTTCCTCCTGGGGATCACCTGGATCCCCAACAATTACGTCAGGAATCACAGATGACACAGCAAACACGCTTGATGAGGAGAAGTCTGCCTGCAGGTCTTCACCGCCACCGTGTGGTTTATTTAAACAACAGCAGCGTGTTTTCATTCACAGGCTAAAATTCATTCACTGGACCAAATCCTGTAGGGATCATTTCAACTAGTCCCTGTATGTGTAGCAATAGAAATACACAATGAATGCGAAACATGTGCAATAATACAGTATAATGTAAAATATAACCTGTGGGCATATTATGTTCAATTTTGTTGAGAGTGTATCAGGACGTGATTAGATTGTTTAAAAGGTTTGATCATAATGTTAGAAGAATGTAAGTCCTCAAACTCTCTAACAATAGGTGTAGAACAAAAGTTACTCACGGTGGGTTTTGAAAGCTGATTCAGATTTTTTTTCAATATATTTTTTTGAATTATGTTTGTTATTAGACCAAAAGTTTTAAAATATCATTATGGGATTAAACAGGCACTCCACTCATTTTACATGTGAAGTACTCAGACTGTAAAACATTTATATAACATCTCCTGTGGCTTTAGAGAAAGCTTTCCTGTGTCTAGAAAAAATACTAATGATGATGTCGTTAGGTTTATCTCAGTTTGGGCTTCAAGGCTTCATTTTATTATTATTTTTATATTATTATTTTTGTATTATTATTTTTTTTTTTAACTTAGGGCTTCATTGTTAGGGTTAGGTTATTGTATATGAAATATCCATAAAATATAAATGCAGGGTCGTCAGTTTAAAGGTCGACCGGTCCTGGAGTTGACCGTTAGAGGCCGCTAACGGTTTACTGTGGGACCAGTAGCGGCGGTTCCTCTGCAGTCGTTAGTTTGTCCGTCCTGTTGTTAGGCAGGTTGTCAGGGGCAGCGCACCAGCCAGGGGACTAACACGGGATTAAGGGACTTCAGTTAATGATGACACATGTATTTATCAAGGAAAACGACTGCCGGCGTTCCTGCTTTTCCTCTTGGAGCTGCCCTGTTTTTTTGGGTAAACGCAGCAGAGACGACAGGGTCGATTTTTTATCGAAACAGCGGTTTGCAGAGGGGTCTGCCCCGTAGCTAGCTAAGTTTTTCTTTTTCCGCTAACGTCAAGCAGCCTGCTAGCTAACGTTATCAGGTAGCGGCATATAAAAAAAGTGATAGCAACGTAACCCAGTAAGGAGATACCTCCAGCTTTCCATTGCGCTTGATTTGCGACCCTTTTTTTTGTGCGAAAATGGAAGACGTTCAGGATAATTTAATGGAGCAGGAAGAGTACGACGACAGCGACAACCCATTAGCATCCCCCTTCAAACCCTCTTTGCGCTCCACCCGACTGCACGTCCAGAGGAGCAGTATCTGCTCTCGGGCTTATTTCGTTGTGGTTATGGTCTTCTTCCATGTGTATATCCTGAATGTTATCGGCCTGCTACTCTACGTGCACTACAACAATGGCCCCGGGGATCTGGTCAGTGGAGACGGGGCCACCTCAGCAGCATCCAGCGAGAGTGGGACCCCTTTGCCCCATCCTGACCCAGCTTCAAGAGAGCTACATGTGGAGGATTATAGTCAGAGTTTCAGTCTTCCTCGTATTGAGGGGATACGGGTGAGAGAAAAAATGGCATAATATCAGTAAGATGAAGTAGTTTTATGGATGATGAATGGAAAGAGCCTACAGTATAAGTGTATAAATGTTTTATATAAACGCAAAGTTAAAGGACTCTTGTAAAATATTGTAATTATATATTTAAAACAAGTCACTATCAGCATCCAGACTTATTGTCTATTTCCTCCCTTGCTAATAACTATACATATTCACTACAACCTGTAAAGCCATTAATGCTCATCCCTGTCAATCATAGCTGAAATTTAGAGAACTGAATCTGTGTTGTAAACATTTGAAACATTTTAAAATCATGACTTAGAGCAGCTATAGCATTGTCCATGCATTTGAACCCCCATGTGAATGTGTTGATAGTGTCTCTTTATTTTCAGGTGGGTCATGTTCAGCAGGTGTCCCTCGTGCCAGGGAGAACACATGAGATGAAGACGATCAGCCTGAAACCTCTCCTATTTGGTGAGTGTGCGCTGTAGTCTGATCTGTTGTTCATGAATAAAGGGTATTTCATCAGGATTTAGAACACAACATTTAATTCTTTTAAAAGCAATACAAATATAGACCAGGAATATTTACTTAAAATTCACAGATATGTACATTTTCTATAAAACATCTTTTATTTTTTTTTACCTCCACTGCCTGAGAGACACACTGTTGGTCCTTTTTGAGCTCCTTTGTGACCAGCTTACTGCATATCTCTTCCATTATCAAAGAAATTGAACATGATTTGAAAAAGTCTATACCAAGCATAATTTACAGTCGTAGGTATTTAGGAACGTTCTAAATGATATGTCTATCCTTTTTCTATGCATAGCTGTTTAATGCTTGTTTCACATCTCAGTTCTTTTTTGAATTTTCTAAGCATATAATCCTAGCTCCTGCATCTGTGATGTTTCCATTTGCGTGCGGCTGCCGTCAGGTTTTTGTCTCGTCTTTGCCAGGCGTAAGCCTTATTGACCACCAGGCGCTCCCCTTGCACTGTGCCTGTCACTAGGAACGTCCCGCCTCGTGGGTAGTTGCGCGTCATGTTCCTTACACAGGTGGCATCTCTCTCCAGCCACAGCTGGATGCGTGAGCGGATCTGCCCACCTAACAGGGGTCCGTGCTTCAGAACGTCCAGTTTGGCAGCCAGTGAGAACTGAGACAGGCTTACTGGACTGTATTTCAGCCGTGTTAGACGCAGTTTCACAACTTGGAAGAAAGCACATAAACAAAAAGCATGATTGGCATGAAAAACATATAAAACATACAATAAAAAAATAATAAAAAGAATATTGATACTCACCAAAATCACTTCTACAAAAGGTCTCCAGTGTATCTTTTGAAGAGGAGGTCTCCTCCAGCTCACAATCCCGACAGCTTGCCTGGGGAACTGAAATAGTCAATCGTTTATTTAATGAAGGCAACTCAAGTGTATGTGTCTATGTAGTCAGTTTCTTACCTCTACGGCCCCCTGTTTGAACAGTAGTGTTGGTGATTGAAGAGATACACATGAGATGGTCTGCAGGATACTGGTCACAGCGTAGAATTTCTGGCCAGGGGTAGCCATAACAACTCATGATTGGTGCACAGCTGTCCCGCACAGATTCACATAAACTCCTGCAGGGTGATATAAACCTGATGATAAAGAAGAGATGGAAAGTGTTGTGGGCAGCATTGAATAGATGAAAGGATTTGAATCAATAGTGTAGTGGTAGGGAACAAACAAGACTGGGTTAGGTAACATTTGGTTGCTTGTTTTTCTCTGTTTCTAAACTGAGAGGTGCTAATGTGACAGAAAGCAGATTATAGTGCTTTGATGCCATTGTTTCAGTCTGAAACCAGGGCCTTTCCTCAGAGACCAGCACTAATTTGCATAACTTTCAAAAGGTGTTAACCCTTGATGACCCTTCTCCTATTCAACTTTGCCATTCTTCTAAAATCTTTTTAGATGTTTTGTTTTACTAGGACCCTGGCTACCATACTTCTACTACTACTACAGTACTATCGAGTGCATTGCAACAAAAAATTGTGGGCAGCTGTCCTGTGAAAATCAGAATTCTTCAAATTGTGACTTGAAAAGGTTGACAATATTTGATTAATTGAAAAAGAAAAAAAAATTGTCTAAACTTACCTGTCAAGGCAAATAGGTGCAAAGAGAGAGCAGAGAAAGATGCGGGCATCGGGGTGGCACTCTCTGGCAAGTAGTGGCAACCAGCTGGCGCTCTGTTGTACAGCCTCAGCTGGAGACTCGTGGCCCAGCAGGTTAGGCATCCTCATGGTGTCATAACCGATGTTTTGGCACAAGGCCATGCCTGATGGGATAGGGACACAGCGAGACGAACTGCGGGGCTCCCAAAGTCCACTTTCGCCTATAGAAAGCATTGACCTAGTAGAAGTACCAGGCTCCCCCCACGCCTCGCCATCCTCTCCTGCTGCAGCTCCCGGTCTAGAAACACGAGTATCTCCAAATCCAGTTTCAGTGTTTCCCTCAATACTTGCCCTGTCCCCACCCTTGTCCTTTACTCCAGATCTAACCCTACCCTCAGCCCTCGCTCGTCCCTCCGACCCTGCCCTCACTCTTCCAGGACCAAGCATTATTGTGCTGCTAGGCCCAGCAAGCAGAAGGAGAAATAGTAGAGAGGCTGAATGGGAGGACTTTCTGTAGATAAAATGAGGGCAGAGCACTGCAGTCATCCTGGGACAGAAGTTGGAAAGGAGGAGTAATCCTGTAGTGCGTCTCTTGAGTGAATGAAGACCCCTGTGTGACAGTGCAGGAGAGGATGGCAGAATAGGTGTATTTATAGTGGGCGGTGATTACATTTGCATAGGAAGGGGTAAGGGGAGGTGTGGAGAACAGTAGGGAGAAGGGTTGGGGCACACATTAAAGTGTTATTAGAGACGCGAAACCGGTTGCATTTATGAGCAGATTTAAGTGTGTTTGACAGAGCTCGAGATTAGTAAGGTCTATGAATTGGCATTTGGATACTTTTGGCTTTCTGCCATTTCCATCCCCACAGCTTGAATTGAGGAACCGACTGGCCCTCATGTAGTGAAACTCCTCCACCCCTACCATCATGCGTTTTCTTTCAACCCACACCTAACTACCTTGTCCCGCCCTGACCTCTCTTTTTGGATGTTCTTGTAAATACTTACTTAGTTGCTACTTGTTTATTATTCCTGAAAATATTAAGGAGAGAATTAAGCTGCCCACATGGTGAGATTATTGAAGAGCTATAAACCTTCAAAGGAAGATAATCAACATGCAACAGAAACTATTTTGATAATTGTTTAAACGTTTCAGTCATTGTTTGCGGAAAAATGCCCTTAAATTCACTGCTGTATCTGCATCTTCTCCAAATGTCAAGATTTGTTTCCCCCCCTTGTTCTACATCATAGTAAACAAAGTATTTTTGGGGGGTTTGAGTGCAGGTCATAGAAAACAAGACATTTGATGACATCACCTTGGGCTGTTGGACATTGTGATGGGAATTTCCCCTATTTTCTGATGTAATATATTTATCTATTAATTGTGAAAGTAATCATCAGATATAGCAATACTGAAAATAATAAGTAGTTTAAACTCTAGTGCGCACTGCTTGTACGTTTTGTCTGTGTGTGTGTGTGTGTGTGTGTGTGTGTGTGTGTGTGTGTGTGTGTGTGTGAACATACGTGTAGGACACAAACAAAATTGGTGTCGTCCTGCTGTGTAGCCATGGCCTGATTCCTGTTCAGACAAGCAGGTCACTTCCTTTCCGGGGGAGAAAGAGACAGTGGTGGGAGGGAGAAGAGGAAGGCTCAGTCTCCCTTCATTCATATCAGTTATCCAGATTAATGAGGCTTGACTGGACAATAGGAATTAACCAAGTGGTTACAGTGTAAAAGACATGGGTGACAAACAAGGTCTCTACTGTACAGGCAGCCAACCTGCCGGAAGCCTTTTATTAAGAGGGGAAATGACTGACAGACATGGATGGATTGCTGGAAGAGAAGAGGAGGCACCCATGAAACACTAATTTGTACCTAGACCTGAATAAGTTCAACAAATGTATGTAATAGTTAAAATAAAATAGCCTTTCTGCTGGTGTAACAAATTTTCTAGGAAACCCAGGTGGACCTACCCAAATAACTTTAGGGACAGACATCAAAATTAGAGACCATAGTGGAAAAAATATACTGGCTGTTTTGTATGAATGAGTATCTTTTACTGCTTTGTACTAATTAATATTAGCAAGTACTGACTCACAGTAGACTGCACTGTTTCCACCCTTCTCTGGGAGAAGTCCAGTGTCGTCACTCATTAGGCCTGCCTGTGGGATAGGTTATACCACAAATGGCTCACTGGGGACTGACAAAGGGGAATAGCTTGTACTCATTATACACAGTCTATCTATACCATCACTGAAGAGTTCCTGTGCTCTAACTACCTACTAAATCATGCAAGAAAGAAAGACATGATTAATTATCACCAAGTGTTGTTGCGCCAAAGTTGAAATGATTTTATGAGAAGAAGTTTATTAGATTTGTATTGTTTTTTAAGAGCCCACACATCCTAATCATTCTGATTAGCATACACTGATCAAACTATCTCAGAATTGCCACTTCACACTGAAGGGTTTTGTCAGGCAATCTAAAGTAATCCATTTAGTCTGACAGATCAAGCCAATACTGTCCACAGAGATCTTCTAATCCACTTAAAAGTCAATCACTCACTCACCATCTCAGGTGTACGATAAAGTTTCATTCCACAAGTTTGTGTGCAGAGGTCGTGGGTGGGAATTTTCTGACTTGAGATACTTTAAATGAATTTTAAGTAATGGTATAGACATTGATAACCAGGTTACTGGAGTGGTTCAAGTTTATTTGTTTATCATCCTGTGTAATCTTCATGTGTGAATCAGCATACACAACAGTTGTGAACAAGTACAGAGTGTCAACCATACTTTAAATGTTTTTGATTAATGTTGCATAACCTCCAAGCCACTCTCTTTGATAGATTTTATATCCTTCATCCACACTCTAATCTTGGGTATATTTATATTTTTTTCAATCTCTGCAGGTCATACAAAACGTATAAGCAGTGCGCACTAGAGTTTAAACTACTTATTATTTTCAGTATTGCTATATCTGCTGATTACTTTCACAGTTAAAAGATAAATATATAACATCAGAAAATAGGGGGAAATTCCCATCACAATGTCCAACAGCCCAAGGTGATGTCATCAGATGTCTTGTTTTCTATGACCTGCAGAGATTGAAAAAATTCCATATAATTTTTAATGGAGAGAGTAATTGTGTCCATTAGAGGATTTGGGTAAGTATGTCAAATAAATGTGTCATTTCCAATTAGGATCTTTGAAAAGTATTGGCAGCTTCTAACCATAAATGTCCAAGGCTGCAATGTGTCCTAACATTCACCTCTGTTGTCTTTTTCCTGTTCCTGTCAGAAATCCCTGGCTTCCTGTCTGAGGAGGAGTGCCGTGTGGTGGTGCAGCTGGCTCAACTCAAGGGTCTGATGGAGAGCCAAATGACAGCACCCAGCCAGGGACAAGAGGAGTCAAACCAGCCACTACTTTCTATCAGCACAGAGGAGGTCTTCAGTCTGTTGGACCTAAACCAGGATGGGCTGCTTCAGAAGCAGGAGGTGACAAGATGGACATTTCTTGTATCCATATGCCTGTAAAGCTGGAGGAGAAATATAGTTTTCCAGAAAAATCCATTCCAATTTAAAAATGTCAGAACCTTTTGTGCTTTTTATTGAAAAAAGAAAAACATTTCTGGTCTCTCCTTCAGATTGTGAGTCACTCGCGCTCTCGAGATGGAACTTGGTTGAACCCAGACAATTTACGGCAGATACTTTCTGGTCTGGAAGCCTGCCCAACAGGTTAGTACCCCTGTGATTTGTGTGTGTCAGTACATTTCTGACTGTTCTGATGCCATATACATATACATAACACAGCATCAGATAAGTTATGGGGCACATACAGTACAAGTTTGAATGACTTTAAAAAAAACTTTGGGAGACACCAGGAAAAACTGAATGTGACCTAAAAGGTTTAATGAATTCATCTTTTAATCTTTAAGTGTAACTTGATTAATTTAAAAGATTTTTTCTTAATTTTGATTAAGCTCTTTTAGACACATATCCAAAAGAAAAATGAGCAAAGATTCAATCCAAATAGAGAAACTTTTAGTATTCTTTGTTCTTTTTATTAAGTCTAATGTGCAATGGATAAATCTGCTGGACTTTTTATTCCTCTTTGTGTGTGGGTTAGGGTTAGGGTTAGGGTAGGTTAGGGTTATGTGTCTGTGAGTGTTTCAGCATTGGTTTTGTATTGGTAAGAGTAGGTGGCTGACGGGTGGCTGTGATTGCGTGCAAGTCTTTGTCAGTGGCAAGGCCGGAAAAGAGGTGCCACCGTTTTGACCTGATGCCATTGTGCCAGGCGTTGCACACATCCCAGTCCGGATGTGCCTCATCCTATCTCATTAAAAACTGATTATTCTCCAACCCCTTCTCTTAATTTTCCCCCGGATCCCCACCCACTCCCTCCTCCACACTCGTTTTTCACTAACCCACACCCCCACCCCACTGCCCAGCCACCTCTTCTCTGGCACCCCAGAGCTATTGTTGCGGCTGGGGCGCGGTCTCCCAGGGGAACTGATGGGGGTCAGACATTCATTCAGCTGAGAGTAACAGCATACAGTTGGACAAAGACGGAAGGAATGGAGGAAAAGAGAGAAGGGAGGCTGTAAAAGCGTACTGTTAACTACGTTGTCCAAGAATTTAAGGTTAAATTAAACTGATCTTGAATCGTGATGCTGAATAACTGATGAATAAAAATAGTCTACTAAAGGATTGTGTGTGTGTTTCTGTCAGGGATGCTGACCTTGGAGGACTTTAGGCATGTTTATGTTATGTCCCAGCGCCCAGGACAACAGCAAAGCAGAAAGCTCCATAGTCACTTCAAACAGAGAAGCAAACATACGTGGCTTTACCAAGGTCCCGGATCCCACCGTGTGCTGCACACACTCAGGAACAGGTAACTGCACATTACACACATTTTGTCACATTCTTACAGTAGCAGCCCATACACTCATGATTTATACTATGCTTGTGTTTTGTGCTCTCATTTCTTTTGTTCAGAGTAACCAGTCTGACACGTCTGCCCTCTGCATTGGTTGAGCTGAGTGAGCCGCTGCAGGTGATTCGCTATGAGCATGGAGACTTCAGTAATGCCCACCACGACAGCAGCCCTTCTCATTCAGAGACTACCTGCGCGCACACACGACTGGCAGGAAACACATCTGCTCTTGCAGAGGTCTCTTGTAGGTATGTATGATATGTACTCTCAATTTCGTTTGTCTTCAGTGGCTTTGCAAGTTTTGATAGTTTAGTAGATAAATATCATTTTACAGACAACTGTAATTATCTCCAAGTAAGCTTAGCTTTTCATTTGACCTATGACAACTGTAATTATCTCCAAGTAAACTTGGCTTTTCATTTGACCTATGACTGATAACATCATGTTTATAACACGTATATGGGAAAGGTTGAGGACCTCTGCAGTTACTACAAATTACTAGAGGTCCTCAGGTAATACTAGTACCTTGCAAATAGTGCTTAAGGCACTTATTTATTGTTTTTTTCACGTTTGCCAAAATGACTTTGTAAATATAATTTTATTGCCAAGCTTTTGTGAGTTCTTTTATCCAGTATTAATAGTGTTGGTGGCATGAAACAAAACAATTTCTCTCGCTATTTTCTCACTATTATCTCTATTTGTCTCTTCCTTTTTTGTTTTATCCAAGGTACCTTACCATGTTATTCTACCTCAGCTCTGTAGAGGAAGGTGGTGAGACCACCTTTCCTGTAGCAGACAACCGTACCTATGAAGAGCAGGTAAGGGTGCTTTCACAACTCGCAGTCAAAAACCATCAGTGTCTCTTTTCTTTACTGCCACTGTGAAATGATGATAACTGTACATTACCTGAATGCTGCTGGTATTACGCAGATGGTGCTGACCCATGACAAGGAATCTGACACCTAAGTGAACAAAGTGTCCCAAAATAAATGATTAGACACAAGCTGTTTACAGTTTTGTGTGTCCTAGGCACTGGTACAGGACGGAGTTGATTTGACAGACACGCAGGAGACATGCAGCAGAGGGAACCTTAAAATGAAACCTGCTGCTGGGACAGCTCTGCTCTGGTACAACCATCTTTCTGATGGTAGAGGTAAGAACAGAAGGCTTTAACTATATTATTTGCACACACACATCCAGTGAGCAATTCCAGTATGTTGATTTTGGGTCTAGTGTAGGAAGCAATGTACATCAAACCCCATTTCACTAGACGTTAGGGCTGAATCCAGGGAGACCCAAGCATGCAAGTGTACATTTTTAATTCCAGTTTCTCTGTGTGTTGTCACCTTACAGGGGTATACATTTATCACATTTAAGTTCAATTTTCTGTTTTTATCCCAAAATATATCACCCACATAAATCATGTAAACAAGGATCTCTTTCAGAATTTGAAAAAAAAAAAAGCCTGTTTGCCAGTATCAGCTGATAGGCAGATGATCCAATCCAATCCAATCCAACTTTATTTGTTAAGCACTTTAAAAACAACCAAAGTTGACCAAAGTGCTGTACAGGAGAATAAATAAGACATCATAAATGTAAACAGTGATGGTGATGATGAAGACCACTGTGAGGAATATAGACAGTGATGGCGACAACACTGGAAAGTTCCCGTGGCAGATAACATGGACGAAGTCCGACGGCGATGAGCTCGATGTCCGGGCTTCAGACACGCTCTTTCACACAGACGTGCCCGGTGTTACACCATCTGTTGTTTATGAGCATGGCCAGTCCCCCTCCTTTCTTCTTGCCGGTCGCGGTGGTGTCCCTGACGGCTCGAACCGTCTGGAAGCAGGGAATGGTAACGTTGGAGTCCGGTATCTGCTCGTGTAGCCACGTTTCTAGGGTTTAAACCTCCTCTTCTTCATCCTCTGTTTAACCCCCACTCTGCAGCCTCGCCGTCTCCTCCTCAGCTCCTCCGGTATGGAGGGTCTCTCTCCGGTCAGGATGCTAGGGTACCTCAGGGCGATCATCTGGTCGCGGGTGTAAACAATGCGACTCGCTGTCGCCATGAAGACCCGTGCAAACAAAAAATAAAAAGTGCTCAAAAGCGCCAAAAAAGTATTTAGGCGACATGAACAAAGTAGTAAGAAAGTAAGAAAACAGTTAAAAATAGCAAAAAGGCTGAAGGCTGCCGTTGTCGCCGGCGCCATTCTGGAATGGCACAGACTCAAGTGATGATGGACTTGTAGGGAATAAAATATTACAATGGAAGTGTAAAGTTTTACTTTTTTCTACCAATAGTTTCTCTCTTGGAAATTAGCTGTGGTTATAAATGCTGTGATGCATTGATAATTGTAAAGCCATTTTCTATGTAAACTGTATCTGTCCTTATCAAATAAACATGAAATAATAATAATAATAAAAAACAACATACGACAGCTATACTGTGAAATTAAAATTGTGGTGACTTAACAACAGTACCAATATCTTACTTGATAGCACAATGAGAACATTTTTGATTCATTGTAACAAGACAGAAGCTTTGGGTTTGCACAGAAACATTAGTCCTAAAAACATAGTTAGCTCTATCTTAGAAATGTACTTTTAATGTCTCTAAATCATCCAGTGTTTTCCCTGAAAGGTTTTTGGGGCGTGTTGTTTGCTCATCTTGTTCACCAGTAGCTTCTACACTCAGTCCTCCCTCTCAAATGCTGTTTATCTCCTCTCCTGCCTTCCCTAGGTTGGATGGGTGAGCTAGATGAGTATTCCCTACATGGCGACTGTCCAGTCAGACGTGGAGTGAAATGGGTGGCCAACAGCTGGGTAAATGTGGACCCAGATCACCAGCAGCAGGCCCGCTACCAGAGACTAGTTGCACAGAGGCATCAAGCTAAGTCGGGCACAGAGGAGCATTACCAAGCTCTCTCACACAGCGACCTCCATCAGGATCTATAGCCGGGCCTTTTAATGACAAAGTGACCATAATTCCAAAACTGGGTCGGTCTTGCATCTATAATGCCAGTGAGGCTTGATAAACTTTTCCACAATGTCAGATGCTGTAGTTGAAATTAAAATTGCAGAAAAACTGCCCCAGATATCTTCTCCTTTCAGTAAATCTGTGACGCATTATATTATGTCTCTCAAGTCACTTGCTTGGATATCCATATTTTTTTCTTGATACATAAGTCAATTTTGTTTGGCAGGTTTGATGCATTGGTTTCCTCTCAATGTATAATACATAATACCAAAATGTATATGAATTAAACAGAATGAATGCCATTATCTATTTAATCGCGCCTTCATATAAAATATCACTTATTCAGAATAACTGATATATATATGGATACCATGATGTGAGTTGGAAAAGATAGAGTCATGTCCAAGAGATGAGCCTGCTTACCTGCTTTCCATTTAGGTTTACTTGGCATTTACTCCTGTTGCAGGTCTGTTATTTATTGTAATAGAATTTAAGCCTTTTGCTACGAGCCATATCACCATATTTATCTGTGAATGTGTTCCTGAGGGAAGTCTTTGTGAGATCATTTATGCCTGTTTGTTTCCTCAGTTTTGTTTATCATGAAATGTTATTTAATAAGGAGTTTGCCACACCTACTTGCAAATGCAGGACTCTTTTTGACTGGACAAAAGGATTGCTTTTCACACTGGCTGTGGGAGGCCGGTGCTTCAGGTGTAATTTAAACGTAGGTCTTTGATATTACAACTTTTGTCTTTCTTATCCTCACAACTCAAAAATATTTAATTGTCTGAGAGTATTTATTTGAGTGTTATTTATTACCAGTATGATTTAAGTTAAAAGGAATGCATATTTATTACAGCTTGATGTTGCACTGAATTTGTTGATGTATTTTATTGTATTTGTTCTATGTCATAAAATATATAAAGCAGTGTTTCATTAGTGGGGTTTTGTGTTCATTCATGCAAACCTGTTGATGTAGACAATGTCCACTAGATGTAGCCCAAACGCCAAGAACAGCATTCACAATTTCTCTGAGTTAAATATGAACTAGTTCAGAAATGGTTCTCATTGTGGTATAATTGACAAGTACTGTACCAGAATCCTGTTGGCACCAGTTCCTGTGATGGATCACCCTGCCCCTGTGTCCTGCCCCTAATAATATGAGAGCGATCAAAAGTCCCCTTTTTGTAATGAGGTGCACTTTCAGTATGGACACAGATACTCTTGAAACCACAAACATTTCCTTTTGTGAGTTTTTACTCCCCTGCAACCAGGGTGCTATTGGTTAGGGTCAAGCATCCTTCACTAGAGGTAGGGGTGGTGCTGACTACAGCTACAGGGGGCAGAAGGTTCCATTAAGATATATTTGTTAAGGTTAATTATGTGGGCACCTGAAATCTTAACTATATCCCAAAAACAATTTGAGAACTCTTCAGTCGATAAAGTAACAGGAGGTTTGTTTGGGGGCCACCTGGAGCCCCTCCCCTGCACCCCCATGTTGGAAACCCTCCACTCGGTCCCCGCCGTTACCGAGATATAGAGCAAAACGACATCAGACAGCGCTTCCGGGGCATTTATCCGCAGTTATTTGTGTGTTTTCAGGTCAAGGACGTATGCGGTGTAATAAACCCATCCTTGTGACTCTTCTCACTTTGACGGAGTGGTGCTGCTGATGCTGTGCGCACTGCACTGGGCTGGCTTCAGCCAATCACGTCAGCCGGCGGCGGGAGGAGGCGGGGGGAGCGGGGGGGGGGCCTCAGTCAGTTACAGCTAACGGACCGTGGAGCAGGTCACATTCTTCGTCTGTCGAACCGCGGCATCACGTACAGGTTTATGGACTTCTGACTGGGCTGCTTAAAAGAAATCATCTTCACCCAAAGGCGCAGTATAATTTTCATTTAACTGTTATCCATGAGATTCTTCAGGCTTACCTTCAAGTGCTTCGTCGACTGCTTTTGAATCTCCTTTGTCAACGGCTGAACTGACTGCGGCGCCTTGTGAAATTTTCCATCTCTTAACCGAGCTGAGGGTTTCCAACGTGTTATAATCATTAAAAAAAAATAAAAAAATAACTGCGATTTTTTTTTTTTTTTTTTTGGGCTTGGGGAAATTCTAAGAAGGCGAAATAACAAACTCAGAAATTCGAAAAGACGACTGGACCACTGCATAGTGTGTGGCTACATCTCTCTGCCTCTCTAAGCCCGCCGGGTGCCTTGGTAGCTAGGCACATTTATAAAACTTCAGCAGCCTCTGGCTAACCCAACCAACAGCCAGCTTTGCTGTTTTAAAAAAAAAAAAATTGTGTCCCAACAACATGTCACCTGAGTTGGAAGAGAACAACCAAGGTGAGTATGATTTAATGACCTCCACTTCTTTGTAATGGCTTGTTGTTTACCATATGATTCAACCGCTAGCTACACCATAACCACATGCTGATGAATTGAAGCATCCCTGCATCAGCCTGTGACATTATTCATTAGAAGAGCAACCCCACACCGCCAGCACTTAACCTGCCTCAGTCTATATGTCTCATCACAATTTGCATACACTTAAGAATAAATATACCCTTCACACCAGAGCTGACTCAACTGCATTGAAGTCATTTTAAAGCTAAATTAGGTGCTGGACAAGGGTCACTACTGGTGAATACAGGAGGATATTTATTCCCCCAAACAAATCATTGTCAAGTTTTACGTCAGTATTGTGAGAGCATCATCATTTAGGCTTGGTCAGGCTTATTAGATTAGGTGACTCATGTCATGTACATCACTGTGTTTCTAAATAATAGATGAGTATTTAGGGTGGTATTCTAAACATAGACCCCATGTTTTATTAAACCTTAAATCATCACATACTGTGTGTAGCTGTTCCTCACACAAGTGATCCTAAATCACAGGTATCCTCTAAATAAGTTGCTCTATGGATGCTGACATCCCTTCCTTACCTTCCCCACTTTTTTTCTCCTCCTCTGTTCACACACCCCCTCAAACTGCTCTGATCTGGATTCAGCTGCCTTGCTTTGCATCCAGCACAGAGCGGCTGACTGATATCATGGAATGGCACTAATGAAGTGACACGTTGCTTTTGTTTGTGTCTGAGTGTTAGTGCATGTGTTTGTTCAGCGGCGTGTGTGTGTGTGTGTGTGTGTGAAATAGAGAAAATGAAATCATTGTGAAGTGACAGGAGCTTCAGATTTACCTTGAACAGGCTCTCTGCTGTGTCGTACCGCAGCACACTAATCACTCTGTCTGTGAGACAGGCAGAGAGAATGAACATCGGGGGAGGGATCAGTGATGACAATACAACTGCAACACGATTTTTTCCCATATACTGAGTGTGTTGGTTCAGTTTACACAATAAATATACATTTAATGTATTATGGGGTGAGATGCATTTCAGCCCTGTTATGGCTTGGTGGAGGTCTGTAATAATTGGCTATGGTTGTACTGAAGCTGTATTGCAATGAATGCAAACCACGCAGTTTCCCTTTTCCATTCAGTGCAAGCCTGACCCAAGAGACAGTCTCCAGTGCTGACGTATGACGTGAAGGGAAGTTGTGTTATGAGTGGTGTTAAAAAAAATGTTCCTCTCTGATAAAAATTGTGGATGTTTCATTAGTATTATCCAGACATACTGATTCCTGCGTATCTTTTCCCCATTCATTCTCCATGTCTCCTATCTATTCTTCATTCATCTGATCCTTTTACATCTTTTTCCTGTCCAGGTGAAATCAGTCTCCCCCAGTTAGAGGCAGGGACCCTGTCCGAGGAGGAAGGCGGGTCTGCTCGCCCCCTTGTGCCGGTGCCTGGAGCGGGCCCAGGGTGTGGTGATGGCGGAGGTGCTGGACCACTGCAGACCCAGGACGGGGCTGCAGCTGGGACTGGAAATGGGGCTATGGCAGTACCACCGGTGGAGAGAGAAACTTGGACCAGACAGATGGACTTCATCATGTCCTGCGTGGGTTTTGCTGTCGGCTTGGGCAACGTGTGGCGGTTCCCTTACCTCTGCTACAAGAACGGAGGAGGTGAGCTTCAGGAGCACTGTGTAGTTCTCTCCGTATCACTTTAAAATCTCTTATGTCCAAATTCACAGATGACTAGTTACTTCATATGAAATAGTGAGTTTGGGTATGAACTCATCCTTTAGACTATAGTATACAAGGTTCATAACTTCGTCCCAGTATGATCCATCATCATCACCTCCAACCTGGCCAGTGATGCAGGTGCAAACTTAATAATTCACTTTCATAAGGTTTGGAGATGCAGTCATGGTTTTGCAGGGTGAACAAAAGTAGACTGAGCTCACAGCCCTGAGGGCCACCTGTAGGTGGTGTGTCATTTGCGTCAGTAAACATCTAGGAACTTTTACTTCTCCTTTTCCTGTGTTTTGTGCCAATCTCAGCTGTTTGGGGTCTGTTGGTGAGGCAGTCCAGTATCCACAAAGACTCGTGCTTAACTTGTCTATTTGTGTCATTTGTGTTGAATGTGCTGAGCTGAAGTCAACAAAAATCTTTCTGTCTTCAGCAGTCTTATAATGAAATTTCTTACAGAGGTAAAAATAAAAAGATTTAGAGCTACTGTTATCTAGCTATAAGAATACAATACTCACTTTCAAAGAGAGAATCGTTGTAGTTTGAGTTTAGATAAACTTAGGTGCTTCTGACAGTTGGAAGGACAACAGTGAAAAGTAGCATGGCGAGACATGATACTGTAATATGCGTAATAGGTAGAGAATCCGGGCCTGCGTGGCTGTGAGCACGTACTGTAGCTGAAAAGCTGCGCCCACCCACGTGGTTTCACTTTATTTATTATAGCTGCTCGTTGCTTCACAGACGGACTTAGTACAAGTTGCAGTGTTCTTGCTCCCTCACTGGCATATAAAGTTATTTGTGTTGTTGTATAACCTTCCCATTATCCTCTCCTTTTTCATTCATGCCAGCTTGTCCAATAGTAAACTGCCCCGACTGCAGCTTTTGGCCTTGGTTTCTCTTATCTCTGCCCTACCCACTTTTTCTATTTTTTTATGAGGCATGTCGTTGAAATTAAATGGAATACGTGACTCTGTGTGTGTGTGTTTGTCTGTCTTAGTCCAACCCTCCCTCTCCCTCATGTGTGTGTGTCTTGTGACCCATGGCTCTGATACCCACCTTCTGGTATCGTATAACAATGGGCTGCCTCACACAGTCCACCCCCTGTGCTCCTGCCCAGCACTCACGTAGCATACAAGGTGCTCTCTCCCACTCACTTCCTGATAAGGAGGCATATGGATATGTCACACAATAACCGTCCTGTGACTGTGCACGTCCTTTCCTCCTCTCAGCGTCAGCGCAGCCACATCCACTACAGTACTTCATTTTACGTCTTTGACTGACCCTGGGTACACCTTGTAACACAACAGTGTTATCAGATAAGGGCTGGGGCTCTTAGTCAGAGCTGCTTGTAACTGAAACAAGGACACGCTCCATTGCAGACCGCAATAGATGAATGTATTATAAATGCGTGGAATTAATGCTCTGCAAATCTTACTTATTTCTTTATTTGTAACTCGGCTGCTTGGCCTGATGTGTCTGGTCCAGTTATGATTAGAGAGGATTTACTTAAGCCTATTAAGGCTGCAGTTCCTCGATGATTTGGCCAATATGTCGGGGTATGTCAGCCCGAGCATTTTCTCCATTCATTCCATTCACGCCTCCTATTGCATCTCTTTCTCTCTCTCTGCCTCTCTCTGTGTCTCTCTTGCTCTTCCACCCCTTTCTCTCTTAGACACACACTCACGAATGCTTCCTTATAAGGCTAAAGCCCTCTGCTCTGAGAATGACATAAAGAATGATGGACTGAATGAGGCACAAATTGTCAATCAATAATACTGTTGCAGGGCCAACCAGGTCAATGCCTTGGTGTGTCATTTTTGTATTTGTTGAACCTCCTCTACCACAGCGT